GCTTCGACGGTAGACAGGGCAACTGTAGCTTGACGCTTCGAGCTCCAGGCAACGGGACCACCAGACATCATGAAGACATAACCTGAGGTAGATCTCAGGGTATCTTTGCACCCTCCATAGTCGGCGTCCACAAATCCCATCGGTTTAAGAGGTGCGTTCCGTGAGTAAGTAATCCCATAGTCGATAGTCGACTTGATGTATCCAATGACGTGCATCAGGGCAGTCCAATGAGCCAGCCCGGGGTTGTTCTGGAAGCGAGACAGCACACTAACAACGTATGTGAGGTCGGGTCGGGTTGCGAGTTGGCCCCACATTACCGAACCGAGTACTGGACGGTATGGTTTATCTGCCATCTCCTCCTCTTCGTCACTAGAGGATGGACCCATTGTCGAATCGAGTACCATCCCAACCGGCATAGGTGTCGAGCGAGGTGGTATATTTTGAAGCCCAAATCTCTCGATGACGTGTTCCCAGTATGGTCGTTGGGAGAGTCGTACTGTTCCAGCTTCGAGGTCCTGATCCACTCGCATCCCCAGGAAATAGCTCTTCTCCCCCACGTCTTTGATTTCCCATCGTTCAGCCAGTTCACTCTTCCTTCGGCTAGCTTCTTCAGTACTGGTCGAAGCTCCCCAAACGTCGTCTGTGTACGTGTCGGTGATGGTGAACGAACCGTCAGTCTCCCACTTCGTTCGGACGCAAGGGTCAGCTCGGGATGTATAGTAGCCAAGCTCGTCGTACGTCTTCGCCAAGGTTTCAAACCAGTCGTGGGCTCCCTGCATTGTCCCATAAATAGTATGAACTAGCTTACAGACCTTGTCTTCCTTGCCAGGTACGACGTATCCCTCTGGTTGGTGCATGTATATATCTTCCTTCGTTTCGCTATTCAGGTATGCCGATACGAAGTCGACCTGCCAGAGGTGGAGGTTCATGCCCGCTGCGATAGCTGCCGTCATGCGAACCGACTCGAGACGTGTCACTGCTGCCCAGGTTTCGTTATAGTCGACACCGAGTTGCTGGGTGTATCCCTTTCCAACCAACCTAGCCTTGTCACGGACACGGTTCCCGTCACCGTCCCACTTAATATCGTATACCCACATGGATTCCATCACGTTCATGTCTGGGGTCACCGGTACGAGGTCCCAGGTATGCTTGCGGATGTGCATATTGTACTCGTCGTCCATGGCTGCGCCCCATCGTTCTGAATCCAGTCCCATGGCCTCCTTGTACGTCTTCGGGATGTGGTGTGAAGCCTTGGTGTCAACAAGGAAAGCTACGTACTCGTCAAGGTCCATGCCTAGCTTCCTCATCTGTGCGATTGCAGCGCGTGGATGTATGGAGTTGGTAGCCCAGTCCTCCCCCTTATCCTTGGCTTGCCTCTCAGATTGTTGGTATTCGCGAGATTCTGTGGCTGCTCGCGTCGAGTTTGAGATTCTTGTTGAACGACGTGGTTGCGGTGGTAGAACTGGATCGGCTTGTACTTCTGGTTGAACGGCAGGTACCTCGAGGTCATTGTCATCAGGCTCGGGATCAACGTTGGTCAACGTGTCAGTTGTTTGGATTGGTTGTTCTTTGACGACATCGGGAAAGAGGTTGCCGTTCGCTTCAGTCTCCCCCAAAACTGACAGCGTGCGATGCGGCGAACCTTCCTCAAATATGACATCACGGGAGACAAAGATCCTGCCTGATTCATCGAGCAATTTGTAATGTCCCCCAGACGCATACCCAAGTAGTCGAGCCCTGATGGACCGATCGTCCAATTTGCTTCCACCAGTGACTTGCTGACCGTTTACTGTAGGAATCTTCGCCCAGCATACACTCCCAAATGCATGCAGGTGTGAGATATCCTGCCGTTTACCAGTCCATAGCTCTGCAGGGACGCAATTTGGATGGCGCCGTGATGGTATCAGATTCCTGGTATACACTGATACCGCGGCAGCCTCAGCCCAGTATTTGTGAGGCAGCCCTGAGTCCCGCAGTAATGCTCGCGTATCCTGGATAGTAGTCCGGATAGCTCGTTCAGCCAGCCCATTCTCCGCAGATGAATACGGCGCCGTCAGTTCTAAAAGAATCCCATGCTCTTTGCAGTAGTCGACCCACTTCGACCCCGCAAACGCATTATCAGCACGCAATTTCTTCACACGTCGATTCGTCTGATTCTCAGCCATTACTCGATATTCGTCAAAGGCCTGGATGGTGGTCTCGTCAGATTTATCAGCGAGGAACACTCCGTGTTTATAAGAAGTGCCGCTATCCACAATCGGCATAAAGTATAGTTTTCCCCCATTAGACAATATGCGGCTAGGCCCCCACAGGTCCGTTGCCACAAGGTCCAAGGGTTCCACGTTTGGGTCGGTTGGCTCATCGAACGGGCGACGTGTCTGTTTCGCCATGAGGCAATCTTCACATTTCCCCTCAACGTTCCTGTCCGTAATTCCACCTGCTAGCCCATCGACAAGGCTTTTCGAGGCCATTGCTTCAATGGTTTCAATGCCTGCATGAACTAGACGACGATGCCATTGGCACAGGGTGGTCGGGTCGCTTCTCGATGACATTGCGAAATGTCCAGCAGGTATTTCCCCATCCTCATCGACGCACTCGAGCACGTACATGCCGCCCTCGCCGTGACCTGTGAAGATTTCGGTACCATTTGTGTCTTTCACAACTGCTTGTCCTCCACCAAATGTCGTGTAGAATCCGGCGGCATCGAGGGAACTAACGGAGATAAGATTGGCCGCCAGGGAGGGTGCATACAATGCATTCTTAAACGTCAGCCTCACTAACTTGTTCTCCCCAGTCTTCCGACGGAAGAGTTTGCTAGCTGTTCCAACTCCCAGGATTGCGAATCCTCCCTCCAACTGCTTCGCAGACGATCCGGTACGAAATGGTTGAGGGGTGTACTCGGTAAAACCCTTACGATCCTTCAAGAAGTGATCGCTGGCGCCCGAGTCCAGGAAATGAAGTGACTTGGTTGGCTTTCGACCCTCGAACGTCGTCGAGACATATGCCTTGTCTGCAATAGGTGTGTCGCACATGTATTCCTCCACTTTGAAGAGGCTGAGGTCCAGTTTTAAGGCCTCGTCGTCGTCGATCTCGGTTAGGTCGAGTACGTCAAATTCAGACATCGAAGGTGAGGTGATTTCCTCGAAATCTGAGTCAGTGGGTGTATGGGTAAGTTCGAACTCGTCATCTGAGTTGGCGTTGATGTTCTCAAGGGCAGACATTTCTTCCTCATTCAACTCTGGCGAAAACAACGTCATGTCACCCTCTCCTGTGAACGCGGTGATGGTACCCTCAAACAGTATGTCCTCTACTATCACACCTCACCCTGCATTCTCAATGCCAGGTTGCATATGCGCCATGAATGCAATGTGAGGTACGTGGGCAATCGTCAGATTTGCCTGTGGTGTGGTGGGGGCAGTCACTACCTGCGTATTCGTGTTCGACGCTGTATTCGCCTGATTGTTTCGTCTGTTACGTCCGAAGTTCTCAGGGAATTGACCCTCTTTTCCTCCCCCAGGCCAATAGCAATCCGAGATATTATGAGTCGAACGCTTACGAGCCTTACAATCGGGGTTGGAACACCATTTACTGGTAGCCGACTTTGTATTAAGAGCGAGGGATGAGTCGGGTTTGGCAGGGTATAAGGTAATGTGGTGTGTCTGTAAGAGGGAGATGATTTCGACTGATGTCTTGCACTGATACAGGGAGGGTATGATCAACATCCAATTTGGCATGGTAGGAAGAGAACGTATGATAATTCCCTTGAAGTCCTTGTCTGTCAACTCACGGCCAGTCTCGGATAAGTTATCGACAGCGGTACGCTTCGTGTGGAGGTCCTGGATGTGGGTATCCATGTTGGCGCCCTCGACGTACTTGGTAACTCCGAGGATCCGTTGGGCTTCGGATAAGGCCATGTCGTTTTGGATGGCATAGGTGCTTATAATCGAGTCCCATGCCTCCTTCGCTGTCCCCGTTGTTTTAACCCCTAATCCTATGGGGTCTGAGATGTTGAGGATGATATGAGAGCGTACGTGGGAGTCACGAAATTTCCATTCATCATACGACGGTGTGGAAGAGTATAGTGGTGTGGTGTCCGGTGGGAGCGGAGTAGCAGTCGGTGCCATGCCCGCAGTCGTCTGTGCGGTAGGCGGGCATGGGATCGACCCGTCCACGTACCCCCATAAGCCTTTACCACTAATAATCTCAGTGATCTTGATCCTCCATGATGCGAGGTTCTTGCCATTGAATTGTGAGGCTTCGGGGAGTTGGGTAATGGATGGGCTGGTCGTCAACATTGTTAGGGGTTACGATTTTTCGTGTGGGTAGTTTGTGGGTATTGAGTCGTTCTTGTGGATAAAATATACTGTGTGTTCTTGACTGGTTCAAAGGCTGGGCCGGGGCCACATAACCTAAAGTAATAAGAACAATATATGAGAACTCAGTCGGCACAGTAAGAGTGGAAACGACTGTATTGGTCGGTAGTATACCGTACCTAAAGTAATAAGAACAATATATGAGAACTCAGTCGGCACAGTAAGAGTGGAAATGACTGAGGTTGCGGCTGTAACTACGAGGTATATATACTGTCAGGATGAAGTATAGGAGTTGGAAAAGTAAGGAGCGGCGTACGATAAAGGAAAAGAGTCGGGTATCACGTGTCTCGTTCAACAGATTGTGTATACCACTTGGCTATGCTCTCTCAGCTTTGACAAATTAATAATTATCATCTCTGGGTAAGTGCTCGATAGGACATGCCATTGGATTTACCTTGTCCATTGAACGTTCTTGTTAGCTCCTGCATATAGAGACAGTTAGACCAACATGATAAGATCGAGCATAGTGAACAAATCCTGATGAGAGTGAGATTCGAACCCACAACGTAAAATCACCCCTGCCACGTGCGAAGATCGTTTGATCGAAACATTCAAAAAGCTGAGAATTGCTGCTAAATTCTAGTGAAAACGTTTAACGGGTACCACTCTTGTACAATAAAAATCACGTGACAAGAGTGGGATTCGAACCCACGCCTCGAAAGACCAGATTATCACATAACTCAGAAACTGAGTGGGTCATTTGAGTGATTGGATAACCACCTTAGTCTGGCGCCTTAGACCGCTCGGCCATCTCGCCGTCGGAACTGTGTAAATGATACTAAATACAATGTGGACACCTCAAAAATGAGCGAAATACCGACTTTGGAAGTGGGGATGGAGGAGAATGATCGTCGATCAGTCGAGTTGCTGCATTTATATTTAGGTTGATACATTCCAAAGATGCACTTTAGGTTCGATCAACTTATACACAACATGGCCTTGCAATCGCCACCATCAGTAAAAGTCCCCTACCTGCTGCCTGACCAAGCTCATCCACAAAAGGTCTGTAATTTCATGCCAGGCGCTGCTGTTTAGAGAGCGGGAGTAGGTACGGTCAAATGTATCCCACTATCGATAAACCGGGCTATTTCTTTCGAAGACTGCCACTGAAAAGCCGCTTCAGCACAAACCGTAAAGCCAACTCAAGAAATACCAAAATATAAGGGAATCAATGAGCAAACATACAAGAAAGCAGCATCTGTGGCTCTTCTGAAGAAATGAAAGCCAATCAGAAAGCAGTTTGTTGACTAGCCCGATGGGGTTCCTCAGTTGCCATGAGGACTATTCGCCAAACTTGAGAGCCGGATCGCTCGAAAAGAGATTACAACAGTAGTTTAACACATACAATGTATTACCGGAATTGCCATCTTGCGATCTCCGATAGCTATAAGCGACTCGATACAACATGGTTCTATTAATACACATTGATTACAAGTGGTACAAGAAATTTCCTAGAACAAATCATTTTGCACTCAATAGCCAGCTCCTTCAAGGGCAGACGCCAGACTCGTCGCCACTGAAGCAGCCAGAACTTCCGGATTGGAAACGGACCGCGGCCGCAACGACATGCGGTGACTGAAAACATCCATGCAAGTCCTCGACTGGCTCGTAGGGATAGCTTCTTTGGGGACGAATTGGAAAGGCACGTCGTCGTCCAGGTTTTGGTCCCATTCGGGTTCGATGACGAAATATATGGTATTTCGTTTATCCTCTGTAGGCGCTGGGGAGAGGACAATAGCAGGTACTGGCGTAGGAGGCAGTTCGCAGATGGGAACAGGTTTGGGAGGGGGGATACTTCTGGAAGAATCGGACGAGTGAACGGACGAGGAGGAGCGTACAGATTTAGAGCCAGAGGTGGATTCCCGGGTGTCGAGACTCTGAGCCGTTCGGAGACAGGGGGTAGACTTGTGGCTTGGTATCGCTTTGGAGGTAGGCGTGACGTTGGATATGGGGTGACTATCGGGAATTAAAGGACCTTCGGGGCTTGTCGAAAGTTGAGGTGTCGCAGGCGGTTTATGCGTCGGCGTCCGCCTAGGTGTCAGTGGTAGTATAGGTACCGGCGCATACCATGCATTAACTTTGCCCAAGTCATGAGCACTCAACGGTGGAGTGGGCGGAAAAGAACCATCTGCCATGCGAGGGATCAACGAAGGCTGTGACCCATGCTCAGACGGCGAGTCTGTAGGCCAGCCTACAGCGCTCAGCTTCAAAAATCCAGGAAATTTCCGGGACACCTTGGTGAGGCTTTCGGCCTCGCTCTTTGATAACGAATCCAGATTGCCGATCTTTTTGGGCAACTTCTTGAATACACTGCGGCCTAACGATGATTGCTTTTCGTCACTGGTGAGTGACTCTGCGGAGCCGACGGTGCCAGACTCTGATACGACCGGAGGCGAGGAGTCTGGAAGGCTGGATGGAGGCGCTGAGACATTGGACGTTTTTCGACTGCGAAATAAGCGCTTCCAGCGTCCAGTCGACAGTTTGCTATCAGAATGCACGTCGTCGGTGCTAGAGCTATTGCGGCTTGACTCAGAATCGCTCCTGCCCAGAGGCGGAGCAGATTGAGGGACGTTATCTATGGGAAAGTCGTATGGGAAGTCTATGATACCCTGCCAAAATCTTTAGTATATTTGAGTGGCAGACAGAGTAGAGAGTGCGTACCTTGGACGACAGTGACGGTGACAGAAGGTCTCCATCAGAGGGTTCACTGTCTACTGGACGCGGTACAACTCGCCCACAACTTTGGAGATATCCTATAGGTACAGTGGTGGTAGCCCCCGTTAAGGGGGTGAAAGGCCACAGGCAGCTGATGATGTCTGTTCGCGGAGGAACAGACGGTCTCTCTTTGGGGAAAGGAGAAGCCATGTTTCCATCAATACTCGGCGGCGAACACGGTAAAGCACTGTCGAATGATGCGTCCTCATCGAGCCGATAGCATGACTCGTCGTCAATGATACTGCCGCCCTCCGGGATCGGTGACAGAAGGTGACGGTGGTACGGCTGGTGGTAATCCATATGGTCATCGATCTGTTCTGACGTGTCGTCGGCGCTGGATGCCTCTGCCACCGGCGAGGATAGAAACAGAGGAGACGATTGGTTCGACGCCATGTCGCAGGAATGTCAAAACACGTCGCTGGTGATGTTGTCTCTTTTCAGTCGTCTGTCACAGGAGGCGGCGGGGGCGGCGAGGCGTCTTCGTTTTACGAAGAGGTCGAGGGAGGGGGGGACAGTAGCAGACAAGAAATACGAAATGATCTCCTCGAGCAAACGCGCCAAAAGGAATTTCACCGATGGCGTCGTTGATTCTAGTTGTTGGGTGATAGCTGAGGATGCTGCAAACGAGCGAAGAAATGGAGAAAAGGGAGTGTGTAAAGAATATGAACAGAAAATGACAAGGAGCGTCGATTGGCGTGGGTGGAATGCCTAGTACAAGTGGGGGATGCTTGATAGCTCTCACGTCGACGTTGGGGAGAGGTGAAAAGTAAATCAAGACCTTTGGTCAAGTTTGGCGCAGTGTCGAAAAGGGCAGGGTGGCTGGGGCACCGGGGGCCAATGATGGGCCTCGTTTTTGGACAATGTAGGTTTCTACAGAGTGGCACGAACAACGATTGACCGGCACGTTAAGTTGCTTCAACCGCAAATCACCTGGGTCTCTCGGGTGACAAATTTTACGAGTCCACATATGCATCAAGCATGCAGGAGCGCGATCGTGTCTTTATTTCAAAGTCGACTCTATCCACTAACCTATATTACAGACCTAAATCAGTACTACTCAAGTGTGGCACAAGACAACGTAGCATACGGCTCTCATTGCTGCCTATCGAACTTCTTCCACGCATGTTTCTCGTACTCGACCGTCCGCGTTCTCTGTTTCTTAGGTCTAGAAACAGTCCAAGTCAGCACTGTGTCAGAAAAAAAATCACAGACTACATACAGCACGAGCGCGCGAGGTTCAATTCGTCCTCGGTGTTGTAGACTGAGGAACCTATCCCGGAACAAGTTGCCCTCAGGCTGCAAATAAAGTCAGGGCACGAAGGTACAGAGACAGAACGTACACACCTTGAGCGCCCTTAGACTCTCGCTGAGGTCTTCTCCCAGTTGCACGTCTACTTCACCCTCCGACACCTTATGCCTCCCTAGTTTCTGCCCCGACAGTCCTTTCTTTAACTTGGCTTCGGCTAAAAGTCGACGCTGTTGACGCCCTGCGTCGTATTTTGAGCTGTTCATCTTCGCCTCCTTGCGTAAAGCCTTGACTTTGTCAATCGTAGACAGCATACGTTTATTGGCAGCTCTGTGTGCTAGTGCACGTTTCTGAAGGGTCGCGTCAATACGGCGGAGAGGAGTCATGGATAAATATGCGACGAACTTCGGCTAGTACCTTGGCGGCTTTTCTCCGCTGTTGTTTCGTCTTCCTCTCCGGTGCCGGCTTGCTGAAGCTCTCCGCCAGCTCCTGTTCCTCTTCAACTGCGCTGGCGATATCCACCTTCATTCCCGGCACGCCGCTACTATTGTCATCCGCGTCCACTCCTGCTTTCTCCATGCGGGTTTTCACCTCCGCCAGCTTTTCAGCCTCTGAGATCCGCTTCTCCTCCATCTCGTAAGCTTTGAGAAGGAGTTCGCGATGGGCATCGGCTGGAGGGTTGTATGATGTTCCAAGGTGAGGCTCGACTACTGCCGGGACCTCAATGATTTTTTGGGGCTGTATATGCGTTGGAGCCTGTCGTGAGATGGTAAATTGAGGTAGTATCACAATGCGGATGAACAAACCTTCACGGGCATCTTTTGGAGGCGCTCGGTTCCTTCCGGCACTTCTGGTTCCTGTTCCTCGTCTGCAGCCCAAGGGTCGAATTGTCCACTGTTTTTCACCGCCTCTGTTACACCAATCATAGCACTCCCTGCGCCAAACTCTGTAGGGTCGACGATGCTATTAAAAGGGCCCTTTCTCGGGCGCTTCGCAATACGCAACATCCGCTCCTTCTCCTCTCTCGTTACTGCGGCCTTTCTCTTTCCGGAGGACGTCGTTCGTGAAAACACAGCCGGTACAGCTGATCGCTGGGCAAGGATTTTCGCTGCAGTTGTTTGAGATGTGAGTGACTTTGGTATGGATTTTCGGACTATATGCGTATTCGTAAACAAAGAGGAAATCACGGTACGACCTGGCGATACTCACTGTCGTCATCGCCAGTGACATCGACGAAGAAAAGGTTGCTGTCGTTCGTTTTTTGCAGGGGTTTACTGCACAAAAAAATCATCATGGGAATTTTCAACATGATCAAGGATAGATAGGACACCGACCCTGTCACTCTCTCTTCCTTCCTCATTCCTTCCATGGCTTCTTCAACGTCTTCGATATTGACATTTTTGCGCCATGCTCGTTTGCCCTTGCGGCTAGACTGGCTGTGCTGGGAAGGGGCTCCTACAGCTGACCGTGATTTAGTTTTGCTTTTTGTTTTTGAAGTAGAAGCCGACATGATGGTGAAAGTTCGAATGAAAATGTCAAGCCGATGAGAAAATTAGTGTCGACGTAATCTTACGTAACACGAATTTCCGTGGTGCAGTGGTAAAGCGCCGAAACGCCGGTTCGAACCCAGATATTCGTAATTTCTTTCCTCTTTGAACTCTTTGCGCACAATGCATCCAAGCTATGAAATTCCTCTGCAGTGTCTGATATCCCAAAATGTGCATAAAAAGAGCGAAGCTCGGATTCTATCCAGAAAATCCAAGGAAATCAAATATGATCCGATGTCCATTATCAAG